TTGTGGCCACCAAAATGTCTCTAGGCATTGCCGAATGTCCACGGGGTGGCAAAATCCCTGCCCTGCCCTCCCCGCCAGCTGAGAACCCGAGGGAGAAGGACTCTACAGGAGACAGAGGCTTCTGACAGGATGGTTGAGCCTCTATAACAAGACAGGAGATGGACAGAGAGAGATGTTCGGAGGCCGGCAGAGGACTGGGACCTGGCATGCTCCGGAGAGGAGAAGCAGGCGTAATCCAGAGGCCGAGGAAGAGCTGCCTGGCACTGCCAAAGCCCATTCAAGCAGAGCAAAGACCAAGAGGCAGATGAGCCTGGCAAAGCATTGTGCCAGTCAGTCATCAATCAGCTGGTGACAACTGCTACATGTCACACTCTGTGCAGATGTGACGATGACCAGGGACTGCAACAGTGGCAGCAGAAAACACACAAGCCACAGCCCAGGAAGCTGTGTGTAGTAGAAGCAGGGCTGAAGGAAGTCCGAGCACTGAAGTATTTTTGGTGTCTAAAGAATCAGAAGGAGGATCTGAAGAGTAAATGAGAAGGTGGGAGGGGGTGTGGAAGAGACACAGAGAAGGGACAGAGAAGAGTGGTGTGGGGACCCAGGATAGCAGAGGGACTTTCCCCCTCAGATGTGGGAAGGACGCAACACAGTGGAGGCCTGGAGACCACGAACAGGAGAGAAGACGAAGGACAAAGTCGACAGCTTTGTCCTTATCAGAGCAGAGGCAGACTTGCGCTTGGCAGAATCAACTAGGGATGGGGAGAGAGGCTGGCGAGCAACACTGAAGGCCTCGTAAGAAAATGCTCGGTAACCAACACCTGAAGGCAACCCGTGCCCAACCACTGGGAGGTGAGGGCGGCGACTATCACGCTTCCACTACGAGTAAGAGAGGACACGTGGCTACAGGGAACATCCCACGTGAAATAACGGGAAGAGGAAAACCAAGCCGAATGGAAGCGTATCCACGCGCTGTACACAGAACACGTTCTTCACATAGAGGTTCCTCTCTGTGGGTTTTCAAGCCACAGAAAGATGACTGCAGCGGGGAAAAATATTCCCTCGTTGGCTGAATGTCAAGAAAGGAACCGCGAGGTGGGGAGGGCTCGGGACAGGTAGTGGGTCAATATCCTGTCACCCTCGCCCTGACGGACCATCAGAGCGAGGGCAAGGGGCTCCCCAGGAGGGAAGTCTGCACGGCTTTCGCTACAGGAGGGTCACCTTGAACAGCTGGCAGGCCGCGGCTGCAGCCTGCCGCTCGGCGTCGATCTTCTTGCTGCCATAGCCCTCCACCTCCACGCTCTTGGGCCACTTTATATGGAGGGTGACTTTCTGGGGAAGAGAAGACAGAATCAGGACCCTTGCCTCTCCAGACTGCAGAGTCACTGCGAATCAGAGAATCGACAGCAAAGCCATGACCTCAGGGCAACAGAGCTGAGCGCAGGACAGAACCTGCCCCATCATCGACCCCTGGTAAGGCCCAACTGTCCCATCCTCAAGCCATTCGTCCCACTTCAAGTCGTTTTACTTCTTCAAAGTACCATGTCCTAGGCCAGAGGGCAAGGTGGAACCCATCTTCAACGTTAAAAATCTTCACTCAGGATGGCCCGCCAGCATGCCTCGGCGGGCCCAGGACCGACGGGACTG